GTAAGGAACCCTCAAATCCTCAGGCACCTGCCCAATTTATATTGATTTATCCAATCAAATCCTCAGACACCTGCCCAATTTATATTGATTTGTCCAAAAAAAAAGAATAAGAAAGAGGTTTGTATAGCTAATCTTTGAACTCATTGAATACCCTGGGAGAAACAATGTCCAATCCTAAAGCTTTATTTTTACACTTTCAGTTTTTCTCTCTGACGTTAACCATAAAATGCTCAGAATCAAGAACAGCTAGCATCTTTTCTTATTAAAACAAGAGAACACTTAAAAGCTCAGTCATTTCACAGTCTTTAACAAAAACCTTTCCATTAGCATCCTATAAGGGCCTAACCCCTATTTTAACATTTTGCTTACCTTTAATATACTTTCAAATATCCTTGACATTAATTCTAACATTTGTAGGTCAGCTGTTTCTCATAAGTTCTTTTTTCGGTTCCTAATTTTTTTAACTTAATACCTAACTTTTTTTTTATTCTGCAAATCTTCTATCCTGTCTGTCAATTTAAATCTCTTAAACTTAAAGTACTTATATCCCACTTTTCTCTTTAATGTCTTTAGTAAGCCAATGAGGCTTGACCTTTCCTGTTATCTTTTTAACTCTTCTCAGGAAAGTGGCTATCTTGAATTTAAATTTGTTTTACAATTTCCACATCACATTCACCTTTTAACTCATCCTAATTCTCTTAATTATAAATCTTATCTAACAGCCTCAAAATTGGCTTTCCAAAAATTAGACTAAAGTTTCATTTCATCTGAAAATGTATCAAAACATCAAACTCAGTTATACAATGATCACTCTTTCCCAAAAGTTACCTCCACCTCAAATCTTGCTACCATATCTTCATTAGTGGTAAACAATAAATCTCAAATGGGATCCTATTTGGTTGTCTCTCAATTTTGTATTGAAAACTATCCTAAGTCACCTTAAAAAACCTCTATCACTCACTATTTCACTCCATATGATCCCAATCAATGTGTTTAAAATTAGTCTGCCATAATCACTACATCAGTATCCTTATTAGCAACAATCTGGATCTTTTACATAATTTATCTTCTGTCTGATCAGGTGACCTATAACAATGGCCAATAAAAAAACTTTCTAGGCTTGAACCTCTGAAAATAACCTCTTCATTACAACTGTTTTGTTTTTATTATCAACAGGGTGCAGTTGATTCCCAATATAAAGAGTCATTCCACACCTTTTTAAAAAATTGATCATTATTATATAACTTATAACCTGGAATTTCAAAATAATTCATATTATTAATATTCTCCAAATTGAAATGTCACAAAAACTCCCATTATGTCATATTCTTCAATTTCAACTTAAGCCCCGAACTCGTGCATTTTGTACCCAACACTCCTAACATTAGAATAATAGCAATTAAACTTATGTTTAAATCTGACAGAATCATCTTCAAAACTACTAACTAATTATGCTCCACTTGCCTTACTGCCTTAGCTATAATGTTAATTTCTAATTTCTCCAGATCTCTCACCACTATGCAAGATTAATCCTAATTGTCTTGAATGAATATCTTCAGAGCTCCCAAAAAGGCCACATTTATTTCTATTCCAAAACGTTTGATGTTGTTTATACTTTTTAACTAATTCTTCTAATTTACAATTTCCCACATCATTTGCTCCTACAGGCATTTCAAAAATAGAATGTTCCATTGTACCAGCATCTAAACAATTCTGTAATACCCTCAACTTCAGTACCTGGCAAGTAAATTCTAGTCCTAGTCTTTCTGTGTTCTCCACTACAAACAACCTTATCAGCATACTTAATGAAAGAGTTTCAACTATATACACTTCTTGGTCATCTCCTTCACTGCAAACATCCAAAGTTCCAGTTTATTAGAAACTGGTACCTCGATGCTGCCTTTATAGCCTTAACTATTAGCCCTTGTAGACCCAAATTTTTCTTTCTCACTTTTTTCCAAGATAACCTTTAAATTAATTCTGTCCACTTCCTGTCTTACTTTTTCATGTTTGTTCCTAATCTATTATTTTCCCCTCCAACAGATTAGACTTCCACAAAGTAATTACTAACTTATCCTCAAGCAAGCCCCTTGTTGTCTCTAAAATGTTTATGTTAAGCAAGCTCTGAAAGTGTGAAATAATGTATCTTTCTAAGCCTCCTGAAAATTGCAACCAAGCCCATAATTCTCAAACATAAACCAATCCCGACATCTGGTGCACCTTATACACTCTATCCCACTTTTCCCTTCTACCTTTGACCACAATGAAGTTATGCTAATGTCAGTCTTCATTCTCTGTTAATAATATTATCAACTTAGCCACCCAATAACTGTAAATTTAACTCAAGTTATTACTGATAGTCTGATATTATTATTTACTAATAACACATCTACAGATGCACTTAAGTTACACTTAACTAAATGTTAATTTCAATTTACTAAAGACTTAGCAGAAAACAAATAGTGGGGACAATAATTTTAACTCATAATTATTCTTATTTAGCTGACACTTATGTTAATTTTTCATTTCAGTCTATTACCTTTGTTATCCTAAACAACTATTTATAATTTTTTTAAAACAGTGCAGTAGCATCATCATTCATAAGAACTTTTGTTACTTGTGAACATGACACTTGCAGTTTACAAGTGAAACATTAAAATTATTATATAGGTAAATAATTATAAGGACTAACTTGGTAAAATAAATGCTTATATCCAATGTAGACCGAGTTATTACATGTCTCTTGTCTTCCTTTCCATAAGAATGAGAGGCTCCTTATGCTATTGAATTTGGTGTGTCAAATAGGATTATGTTTCAAGCTAGATGTAATATTTTTAAAGAGAAATCTACATGTTTAACAGTACTCTTAATATCATTCTCCTGACGACAACACACATACTGTAAGTAAAAAATATACAATTTCTATCTATCTATCACTACCTTGACAATTATAATTATGCTTAACTTCAACTGACTAGCCTTCTTTCATCTATTCTAATTTTTTTTTCAAATTCAAACCAATGGGAAACTCAAGTTTTTATATCTCATTTTTAACTGTAATATATTTATAATAAAATTAATTCCTTTGTATTACTTGTCCACCTTAAATATACTATTGGACGTCATGTGAATTATTTTCCCTTGTTGATTTTTTTATACTGCTCGTCTACACTTATGAACTTAAAATTTGTCCATATAATGTATATGTATGGTACGGTACATGTATAGTATGGATGTACACAGTTTATACTAAAATCAGCCAAAAAGTATGCAGATGTTTAAAGTTGATATCAAGGTACTCACATATCTTTTTAAATATGCCAAGATACACAAATACATAAGTGTTACACATGATTATTGCTACTGGCCTGTTAAACACACAATATTTAAAGAAATAAATATACCATAGGTGACAGAACACTAACGACAGATATTCAAGACTGGATTTGTAAACAAAATATTTTATAATTATTAATGTTAATGTTCCTAGTACTACTATATAACAATATTCCAATTAACACAAAAACCAGGTTAACTCTCCCTTATGCTTCAAATATAATATTTTTCTTTAGCAGTATAACTAATTTGATTTATCCATGATTATGACTTAATCATAACCATCATGAAGATGATTATTACAATATTTAAATGTGCTGTCATAAATATGGGTACAGGATAGCAATTGTATTTGTATGTATTCAAGCTTTTTTTGAGAAAGACTCATAGAAGTAAACCATAATTCTTTTACACAGTTCAGTATGACAAGTGTCTGAATTTAACAAGTATTTGTAGATTTTTTAATATTACTGTAACATTCTATGTCTTAAGTAAGAATTATTCTTTGCTATATTTCTTATTTGTTGCTTGGCTTGTTTGACAAGGAAACATCTATTAATATATACTCTCAGGTGGGAATGTCATTGAAAAATATGTTACTTTTGGCACATTCTCTCAAGCAGAGCACATTTGAGTAGAGGACAAAACCTGGATGAAAATACTTCACATATTTTTTGAACAAGCTTTAAGCTTTGACTTGCAGTTTTCTTCAAGTTCAACTGAAGAAGACTGCAGAACACAGCCAAACAGTGGATTGTAAAGAAAAATAAAAACAATATTTTTTCTAGTCTAACAATCAGACTGTTATGTTTATCACTTCATGAACTAATAAATTTTTGAAATTTACTATTCCACAGACCATAGGTGAATATATTGAAAGCCCTCTAATGGTACTAAAAGATTATAAGCATATTATTATTATTCTTAAATATGTTAGAAACAAAGTATTTATATAAAATTTCCAGCGTTTTTGTTAAATTATTACCAAACCCAATCTCCAATAAGCCTATGAAACCCAAAACACTACAGCACAGTTTAATAATTTAAATAATGATATAAAATGTAGCTGAGAATATGAGTTGATAATATGCAAAAAACATTCTATGTCAATTTTCATGAGCTTTTACTATTTCTTGCTATCTACTTTTCTAATGTATGTATTCCACTATTGATAACTTACAAGTAAATAATTGCAATAAATAACATCAGTCACCAGCCTACTTACTTGATAATCACATAAAAATTATTATTTATTAATCGCCCGAATGTTCCTCAAGTACTATTTAAATTTACATTTTTGAAACTTATAACCCAAAGTTTCCAATAATTTTAGTATAATATTAAATTAAATACCTACATTTTGTGGAGTTAACATAATTTTCATTTCTGGATTCAATTTAAAGTTTGTTAATGATCATTAATATCACATAGACATATGGTAGCCTACAGAACAATGTACGTTAAAAATTAAGCATAACAATAGTCCTAAAATATTAGTTCTCGTCCAAATGGTTTTCATCACTCATGTAAACTACAACTTACACTTAACTTACAATCACAAGTTAGTATTGCCTTGGGTAATCATCGCTGGTAATTTGGGTCACGTAAAAGTTTCTTATGTAATATGCAAAGTTAAGAGCAAAAATAGTCAAGAAACACCTTACCTTGAGTATGTCCATCAACAACCTGAACAATCCTGTAAATTATATCCAAGAAATTGCACAAAAGTATAATGTTTAGCGCTCTTTTTAGTCGCATCTTTTTACTTTGTAGTGATTCTAATCGCGCCATGCTATGCCCCAGCTGCTCTATCTGATCTCAAATATTCCCGTGTGTAACATTAAACAGCAGTTTCGTAATAATAATGATTTAAAGTTTTTTGAGGAAAAGATTTGTAATATTGTGTAAATATTTTGCTTTCTATGTGATCCAAAAATTATTAATTTTTACTCCGATAATGTATATATAATTTACGAAAACAAAACATTATATAGAAGACTAGAGGACGCCACTGTAAAGGGCTAGATGTTAAAATCAATAAGATATAAATAAGAAAATTCACAACGTAAAAGAGGGAATGTACATATATGTGTGCACATGGACACAATATCTTTTTTCTTAGCTAGAAACTACCCAATAAGTAGTTTTTTTACAGTTTTTACATAATAATACGAAAGAAAATCTTAACAAAAATTTGTTCATTCACTTCATTCAGGTTTAACCAAAAATACCAAAAGCGCACTTAGCAAGATTCCCACTGAATCTGTGATATTAATAATGCATAATTAAGGATAATCCTTCTGAGCGAGGTTCTATACAAAATTAACATACGGTATCAATTTCTACGCGTCTTTCTTTATTTTACTCTTTATGAACTTGTTATATATTAGCTTATAAGATCCTAAGATTATACACAAACACTAATATTCGATTTCGGTGACGAGGAACTCACTTTGAGACTAATAATGGCTGGAGACGGCTTGAATGGGTAATGAAGAAAAACTTTAATATAAGTTTAACATAACAGCAAATGTACAACGTTTCGACAAGGTTTTGTCATCATCAAGTACAAGTAATTTACACTGACACGGATATATATATATATACAGTATTAAACAAAGAGGTCACACGACATACTGTTGCAAAACTTAGAAGAGGTATCTTGGCACCCCGGGTGTTGGTTTAGAGTAGGGTTGTTTTGTTCAATTAAGATGGATTCCTTGATTTTTCGTTTGTTTATGTTGGGTTCTTTGTTTAAAATGACTGTGTTTTTAATAGATATACTATGGTTTTTTTGAGTTGCAATGGTGAAAAACATGGGACAGTTTTTTTATTGTGTTCTGTCAATCTGGTCTCCAATTTTTTCCCTGTTTCCTTGATGTAGAATTCTGGGCAGTTATTGCATGTTATTTTGTAAATTATGTTGGTATTGTGTGATTCTAAATAATTTTTGTTTGCTAACGATTTAAATTTAGGTCCGGGTTTTTGTGAGAATCTCACGTTGACAGGAATATTGTGTTTAATGGCTAGTTTAGTCCAAGTGTGGATAATTCTTGAGCTGGTTTCAGGAACAAAAGGTAAACTGCAGTGTAATGTACTGTTGTTGGGTTTGTTAGTGTCAATTTTGTTCGTGAGTTGAGTTTTGTTGTGTGGAATGTTGGAGACTCTTTCAACAATAGCTGGTGGGAATTTATTGGTGTGAATAAAGGAATGCTTTATGTGGTTAATTTCTTCATTTATGTAGCCTGTTGAACAAAGTATTGTGGCTGTGTTTATGAGGTTTTTAAGTGTATTTCGATCTGACCACCCTAGCCATTATCAGATTGTCAAATTAAACAGTGTAAGAATTTAATTAATTGTACTTGTCATAAGACATTACTATTGGGCCTATTATATTTTAAACACTACATTCCTTATTAAAAGAAATAGCTTGTATAAATAGTATTCGACTACTGCTGTATTTGTTGTGTACCAACCTGGTGAGTTCTGTATTGAACAAAACGCATCGTCGGCAATAGATGTGGGGAACAATAGTGTGGTTGAAAAAAATAGTATTACACACACTCTTCTTCTTTTTGAAAAACCGTAGGAGACTGAATAAAGAATACTGTGTTCAAACATATGATGAACCTAATACTAATGTCATATGACAATTAATTATAACCCTGCTTCAATAGATTAGAAAAAGTATTGTTACGTCTCTGTGTTCGTTTGTTAATTTCCCGTATAATTTCTTTCGGATGATACAAGTCCTTTCTTAAATAAAACTAATTTATACTTTCTCAATTCAACTTTGCAATACACTTAATTTCCACAGTCACCTTAACTTAAACACACGCTATAATTTACAATGAATGATATGCACCTTACTTACTACTGTGCTTGATTCAATTGTCCGTCTATATCTTCAATCTCTCTGTCTGCTGTATAATTCCGATTATTTGTCTGGCGCACTTATATACAAGAATAGAGGGCGCCTAGCAAGTACTGGATTATTCGTGATGTTCCCCGATCTTTCTAGAACTCATTACGTGTTACAAGCGTCACGTGACTTCCGCTGTCGTAACACTGCCCCTTCCTTAGTATTGTTCGTTCGGAACAATAGCCACTCACATTAAACCAATATAAAATTAACAATAGCTTAATTAAATGTACAGAATTTACAAACACAAAATTAAAATTCAACAAAGTCTCTTAATTTTACGGGACGTAGCTTCTTCTGTACTGGTCTCCTTCTCGTTGGCTTCTGCTTCACGTAGGGCTCATCTGCTGCATCAGGAAATGTCCTATTATCGGTAATAGTCACATCAGTAGTAGTAACTTCATTAAGGGCTTTACTGTTTCCCTTCTCAAAACTCGGTAGAGTTTTTTCTTCGACAGTGGCTTTTTCAGGTGACACGTCTTCAGCAGCATCATTTGTTCCTTCGTTCCTTTTGTTCCAACTGAAATGTCCTGGACCGTGATAACGCCAAAGCCTGTTGGCATGAGCCACCTTTGGCTTGCCTCGCCGACCACATTTTATTCGGAAAGTCACGTCTGAGAGACGATCAACTATGTCATATGGGCCTTCCCATGGAGAAGACAACTTCGGAGACTTCCCTTTGGTCTTCTTGGGATTATGCAACCACACCTTGTCTCCTGGTACAAAGGTGTCTTCAGATCTCTTATCATAACATAGCTTCGTGGAATCAGCAGACATTTTCAAGTTTGAAAATAATAATAATAATATTAATAATATTTTGATAATATTCACTTGATGGTGAATATTATCCATCATTTCAGATAGCACTTTCACGAATTCTGACACATTTTCAGGCAACTCTTCATA